GACAGCACCGGAATGTTTGACGTTAATTACAGAGTTAGACATATTCGCACATACAAGGTTCGTTGGTCTCTATTGTATCTATTTTTGATTTTTACTAAATCGTTCGATTTTTGAAATTTCTATCGTACTGCATATCGCTAGTTATATAAAGTTATTTTTTACTTTTTTTTGCTAAATCCTACTCTGTTTTTTATGCCTAAATATGCAGCTATAACCACCTATAATTCTTAGCCCAGTTACTCCCCACCTCTTCCATCTCTCGTATACACACCATCAGCAGGAGCTACATGTGGTGTGAACATGGAAATCGGCGAGCAGTACCTTTTGTCAGGTGAGTAAACTAAACAAATAGCCAAAAATAGACAAACGGGAATTCTAGGAAGTAGACAAACTGATGGTAGCCTGCATACCTATCTCTGTGGACAAATCAGTGACGAAGGTTTTGGTGGGCTTGCCCCGTGGAGAACCATCTCACCAGCTCTTCGTGCAAATCTGACTAAGTTTGAATGCAAGAAATAAGCACAATAAATTCTTCGGCATGATTTGGTACAGAAGTTATTTGAATTTTTGGTTTCTTCAGTGACTTCTTGGACTGGAGAGGAATTTAAATGATCAGGGCCTGCGAAAGATGCCTAGAGGGTTTTGATTTTGGCTAAACAACACCTTTCACTTAATGTTAAAAACACTGTGCACTAAACAATTTCGACCATAAAAAACATAAAGTCGGAAATACAGAACTAAATAAATATTTGTTTTCAAGAAAAATCTGAAAACAGCTTGATTAGTCTGTCGGGCTTTGGAATGAAAAGCATTTCTGCACTTTAAGCGCTGCAATTCCAGCACTCTCATTTTGCTTCAAAAAAAGACTACTGGTAGAATTCTGTCCAGTGAATAACTAATGCAAATGCTTACAAAGCATTCACGACAGTTCAGTAAATTTCAGTGCTTGCTTCAAATGACACATAATTCAAGCTATACCCAAACGACTTGATCAACGCCTAAGCATGGAATGGAAACCCTTCCAACTAAATGCTCATACTGTTCGTGAGATCTCAAAAAGAGATTAGCATAATGTCTTCGACTATCTAAAAATGTGCCCAAATCCCGCGGTTGCATGCTGCGTTATAAGTCTCTGAGTGGTGTATGGTAGATTATTTTTACCTCTGGCAATAAGTGTTTGGTTCTATAAAAAATTTTATTTTGTCCTTCTTTTTAATCAAACCACTAAGCGAAAATCAAATTTTGATAGGAGTAGAGATACTCCAAGTTTTACACCAGTCTGCCAAATTTTTCACCTAAGGGTGTAAAGATAGATGCGGACAAACGTGGACTTCAGGCATATACTCACCTGTTATGATATTGATCCCATCTTGCCTTAAGATTTCACAAAACGTGCGAGATCTGAGTTAAACACTTCGTTTAAAAGACAGCCAAATTGTACACCTTAAATCATGTGTCATTTGTCCTAAGC